TGGAGTACTGTGTCCAGTTCTGGGCACCACAGTTCAAGAAGGACACTGACAAACTGGAACGTGTCCAGAGGAGGGCAACCAAAATGGTCAAAGGCCTGGAAACGATGCCTTATGAGGAACGGCTAAGGGAGATGGGCATGTTTAGCCTGGAGAAGAGGAGGTTAAGGGGTGATATGATAGCCATGTTCAAATATATAAAAGGATGTCATATAGAGGAGGGAGAAAGGTTGTTTTCTGCTGCTCCAGAGAAGCGGACATGGAGCAATGGATCCAAACTACAAGAAAGAAGATTCCACCTAAACATTAGGAAGAACTTCCTGACAGTAAGAGCTGTTCGACAGTGGAATTTGCTGCCAAGGAGTGTGGTGGAGTCTCCTTCTTTGGAGGTCTTTAAGCAGAGGCTTGACAACCATATGTCAGGAGTGCTCTGATGGTGTTTCCTGCTTGGCAGGGGGTTGGACTCGATGGCCCTTGTGGTCTACTCCAACTCTATGATTCTGTGAGTCACTCCATCCCCTTGATCATCTTGGTTGCTGTTTTCTGAACCTTTTCCAACTCTACAATATCCTTTTTGAGGTGAGGCAACTAGAACTGTACACAGTGAAACCTGCTATGTACTTGGGCTCCCTGGTCAGTGACCCACACTGTTCTCGGTTGGTCTGCAGAAGGAGGAACTCGGGGAGGCACTACACGAGGTCGATTTCCAGCAGCTGAAAATCGAGAATGCTCAGTTCCTGGAGAAGATTGATGAGCGGAACCAGGAGCTGCTGCAACTGAAGCTTACTGTGGGCAACGCTATCCAGGTCCTCAATTTCTACAGAGTAAGTAGAGCAGTCCCACAGGGCGCACTCTCTCTCCTGCTCTTTGGTTCCCCATACATGGCTTAAGATGGCTGCTGGAAGAGACCTGGGATCCAACTGCCTGCACTTCCCTACTGAGGGGGACAGTGCTGCTGTAGACCAAAGCTCTGCTCTGTAACCAGCAATTATTCTGCTAAGGAGTAAACACAGCTTTTCCTCCATCTCTTCTGTTGCAGAGCAGAGTTCCAATGGTCAGAAACAGTGGCAGGGGAACTGCCTGGGGCCTAACCTCTGCCTCATTTTCTACACCTTTTCCTGGCTTGCTAGGGTTACTCCTTGGCAAGTCCTCCTTTCTCCAACCCCAAATGTTGGAAGGACAGTTTTCACTGGGACCATTGTGCAAGAGGGTTAAATGCTCCCTTCTCCAAACTGCATTCTCATGCATGATTCTCCCCCACCTGCCCATGCCCTCTGCAATGGGGATGGGGGTGCTGATATAAAAGCAATGCTTTTTGGACAGGGAGTTAAAATGATCAAGTTGATTCCTAGAGAAGAGGGACAGAGCATAGGAAAGGAAATGGCAACAGTCCAGAAAATGGCCAGAACAATTTAATCAGCAAGAATAGAAGTGGAGGAAGGGGGTATATTCACTTGGGTAATTGTGTGCTATTGAATTGGGTTTTTTTTTAAGTTGAACGTTCTGGGCTCTGAAAAGAAAAAGAGGGGGAACTGAGTATGGGGAACATGATGTTTGTTCATGATGTCATGCAAATAACCTGTAGAAAATGAGTGTGTAAAGCACAGGACCCAACGTCTAGGGGCCGATCTCCCTTTGGTCCCTCGCACTAAAATATTTGAGGGGGCTGTGCCCCCTCCCCAAGTTGAGGGGCATTGCCATTCAAATGGTGTGCATGAGCCATGTCTTGGGATCAATTATGTGGGTCAGAGCTTACCTGCCCCCCCATATTTTATTCAAGTTGGTACCCCTGGTAAAGCTTGGCTATTCTGCAGTACAGTAAATGTGTAGTGTGGAAGCAAGCTAAAAGGACTGAGTCTCTCTGTCTCTGTCTCTCTCACACACACACATCCTGAAAAAGGCACCATTTTGGACTAGTGGGTACCTTTTGAATTTTGAATTTAGGGGCTCCAGGCACAAAATGGCTACCATGGGGGGGGCTTGGCATAATGCAAAATTGGAGGGACAACTGTCCCTGAAACCTTATGCTTACCATGGGAAGCTTCCCCCACCCCAAAGGAAGATCCCACTGTGTGCAAATGAGCCTATAAGAATCAAAACGGTGGGACTTGGTCCAGGAGGTTGTATCATCCTGGGCCAAACTTAGAGGAGGATGAGCCTAGGGACACAGGACTCTTGGTCCATTTGGCTCAATAATGTCTGCACCAACTGACAGCAGTTCTCCAGGACTTCAGACTCAGGGGCCATTCCTAGCCCTTCCTGGAGAATCCATTGGGAGTTGAACCACGAACCTTCTGTATTCCAAGCAGATGCTCTTAACCTCTTACCTTTAGCCCTTTCCCAAAAGCTTCTGGAGCATATTTCACTGTCCAGAAGATGGGATTTCAGCAGGAGTCTCTTTTTCTGCAGCTCTTCAAATCTCTTCTTTGCACTACTGTCTTCATTTTCACTTGGGCATTATTCCCAGGGAATAATCCTGATATATCACCAGCTAAACATTGCAATATATCAATATATCACAATATCTGAAATAAGGCGAACATAATTTTGTGAGCATACTTTATACTTCCATTCTGGATTTAGTGTCTGTGCTGGCTACTGAAACCTCGTTTTCCAGTTACAGCTGTTCCATGTGTGGCCAGGTAGCATTCAGACATGCAAAGTAAATCTGGATGCTGCCTTCTGAAAGTTCCTTCTGCTTAGGTAGACACAGGCCATCCAACCTTCTTTTCCCTCTCAGTCTGGATCAACTTGTTTTATTTCAGAAGAAACTGTATACCGCAATGACCCTGGCCACCAACCTGGTGAAAGATATTGCCCAGAGAAAGGAGTCCCTGGAAAAAATTGAACATGAGGCCATCCTCGTTGAGGAGGTAGGACTGAAGGGAGGGACAGGAGCTATTTAACTGCAAGCAAAGGTTTTAAAATAACAGTGACAGGATCAACTTACTGGGATTATTTGTGAATGATGGTGTTGCCGCCAGGAACAATGCCCAGTTTACTGGCTCCTAATGTATTTTTATTATTTTTTATTGTTAATGCATGTGATTTTTCAGGCTTGTGAGTCAAAGTAGAGCAAAAAATGATCCCAGGAGAAAAGTCAGTACACTAAGGGAGGACTTTGTATTATCTGGGAACTAATTTGCTTGCTAAGTGATGCTGAAAAGCCTGGACAGGAACTTTCACATTTTCAGGAAGAAAAGTGTGAATGGTTGCAAACTGAAGATGGTTTATTTGTGTAGATCAAGAGGGGGAGTCCTCTGACTAAGGAAAGAATGTCAGGAAAGGCTCAGTGCCTCTTTATCTTCTGTGGGTTGTACGTTCAGGATAAACAGTTATTTCCCTTACTCAGAAAATAGGGTGGGTCACCAGCAGGAGACCTGCAGTGTCTGGCTTCAGATGAAAACAGCCAGTCATCAGCTGCAGGTGCTTCCCCCAGAGTAAGGGACCAGTGAAGGGTCCAACTACATATTACAGTGAAGATCTGTGATCAGCTCTCCAAACATTTTTATTTTTACTTTAAAGAAGTCACTGGGGGTTCTGAATGTGATTGGTGTAATGATGTTGGATGAAGAGGTGTTTAGCCCTTTCTCCCCCTGCCATTTCCCTGATCTAAATTCCTGTCCCCACCCCACCCCATACAATGCAATGAAATAAAACTAAAGAGTCTCTCTCATCAAAATACTTTTCTTTTTTTCCTTTTTTTTATAGGAACGGTTCAAAGCCGAGGTCCTGAACAAAAGGCTACGGAAACAACTGGCAGAGTACAAAGTGCCTCCTGTCCTCGACTATGTCCATGAGAAGATGGCAGTACATGAACTGGAGAACATCATCAAGATCTGGGAGAGGAAGGTGGAAATTGCAGAGGTATGGGCATGCTGGCCTTACATCTGGGCACCTGTGCCACAGGGCTGACCACAGCGAGGTCTGTGTTAAACCTCTGTTCTGCCTCTGAACACAAACTTGGCACTGATGTGGGCAATATGTGGCCAAGTGCCTCATTGTTATACTCAACACCAGGTTAAAGAGAGGTAAAATTCCCTATTGGAAAAGGGTGTTCAGATTGTGTGCAGGAAGTGGAGTTGGGGATCAGTGTAGGGATAGCCCTGAACTTGAAGAGATGTGGCTATGGACAAAACTCCACTTTCAACCTGTTGCCTTTGGCATATCCTTTCTTGTCCTTGTTCTCTCTCTTGCTATTTTGCAGAGCAGGGTTTTATTTAAGCTTTCTAGGATTGTGAAGGTGGCAGTAAAGCATCAGGAAGTAGAGAAGCCCTGCAGATAGTGGATGCTGTTTCTGGAGCACTCTGAAATGATGTTACTCCAAGGTGCAGATGCAGGAGGAGAAGCAGCCTCTCTGTATACGTGTGGTTTTTTCTCCTTGCTTGGAGTTTAAAAGAGGAGCAGAATGAGGATGAGCAAGCAAGAGAGGGCCAGGAACAGCTGCTCCACCCACCTTAGGGGCAGGAACTTAGAGAGCATTTGCCATTTAGGGTAAATAGAAGGCATGCAATAGTTGTTCCCCTCCCCCTTGGTCTGGGTTTTCTTTCTCAGTCTCTCTCTCTGTCCCTCACTCCCAGCTCAGTTTCTTACTGCTTTCCTCTTTTCCCCTCTTCCGTCTCACAGATGGCCTTGCGGGGCTACCAGAGTACTTGGCACAAGACAAAGCTGGCTAGTCAACAGCTGCAGGCTCTTCTCCCAGAGCAAGGGAGCAACTGAGAAGGAGAGAGCTGGACAAAGGCACTTTACCAAGGGCCCAGTTGCCTAGCCTTGGCTTGGAAGAGAACAGGAGCCCCTGCAGCACATGCCTCCTGCTTCCTCTGTCTTCTTTGGCTCTCTCTTCCTGACAAGGTATTTGCACCAGGGTCTCAGGACCTCTGCAGTTGTCGTCCCCTTTCCCTTTCTGTTCCCCTGTGATGCGTTACTTTATAAGTCATCAATATATCTAGCTATATTTACCACTTTGGAGTCATTTCATACCACATGGTTCTGAGGAGATTGAATAAGGAGGGTTTGAAGTTTAATTGTCCAAATGGGATTTCTGGGGAAATGACAGATGAGCATAACAGCACTCACCATATCTCAGCTGTGCATTTCTCAGAAATGTCTGCTGCTTAACCTGCCACCATCCAGCATGTCAGAAGACAGGGCATGAGGCTTTTAGAGAGGAGGCCTTTAGGCTGGCCTAACTTGGCTGTAGAAACAGGAAGAAGCTCCCCACTGTAGTAGTCATAATAGATGGGATCAGACTGCTTGGCCCGTGACTCAGCTGGCCCTTCTGGGAGCTCCAAGCTGTCTTCTGTGAGGTGCTCTGTATAATTAAGGCTGGTGTGGTCTGAGAAGTCAATGGCTCTCTCCTCCCCAATGGGTTCAAATATCCCTTCGCCCTCCTCCATGGGAGGTCTGAAGGGGCTGTGTCTTGAGTCGGGGATGGGAGAGGCTGGAGCTCCCCACTTTGCTGTGGTGGTCACAATCCAGTCGCCATAGGAAGACACTCTGGTGTAGAGAAACGGCCCATAGCATCTCATACCGCCCTTGGTCATCACCCCCTTCAGCACCCATTGCCTTGTTCCATCTGCCTGGCACATGACCGGGTTGCCTGGGTATCCCTTTGGAAGAGGAAAAAAGCAAAGGTGCCTTTATTTATTCATTTAAAATACCTCTCCCCCACCTCTCCACATGCAGTTCAAGGCAACTGACAGAGAAATCATGAAATACAATAAAAGCCAAGGCAAAATAAGAAAAAAAATATGGAGCTCATGACCTCATGATAGGTGCGCAAAGTCAGAATTTTAGGAACAAGAAGGAGGAGTTTGTGGAGCTTTTTGGTGGGCCCCCTGGTCCAATGAAAAGGTTCCATCAGGAGCAGAAACTGCTGTTTTACTCTCTGCCGCAGATCCCTTCCAAATAGCAGATCAAGCAAAATGGTCCCCCTAACAACTCACTTCCACAAACAGGGATTGCCAGCAGCAGGCAGGAATCATTAGCGTTTGAAATTGGGCACTGTGAGCTGGCTGGCTAAGGGTGTCATAGTGGCATACAGGGTTCTCCTCCTCCTCTCTGTTTTATTCTCACAATAACCCTGTGGAGATGGACCTGTCACCATCTCTGACCTAAGATCACTCAGCTTCACAGCTGAGCAGAGATGTGAATTAGGAGTGCATTTAACATTTACCTGTGGATCTTGAATAAACTGGATTAAATCCAGATTCATCATGCCCGGCCCTGTTTTCAGCCATCAGAATAACATGAAAATTAGACATTCCAAGACATTTCTGAGGATACAGTTCTGAGATCACTTATGGGCTATGGTTCGCCTACCAGCTCTTAACTGGTCTCTTGATGGGTGTTTCTTCTTTTTTTTATCAAATGCTGCCTAGGAATGAGTAGATCTGCCCCAACTTTTAGAAAAAAATTCTTAGTAGGGGCTCACAAATATATATATATATTTATAACAATATCTAATAATTATAATTTAATAATAGAAAACACAAGTGCTAATGTTAAAGCACCACCCTGCCCAGTAAACGGCTGCAGCAATGCTCTTGTGTTAAAAGGGGGAAATATTTTCTGTACTTTCACTATGCCTTGCTGAAGTGTTTGCACAGTCACTAGAAGAGAACTTCTTGTTGTGTTTATGAATGGTGCAGAGGTAGGAGCAGATGAGCCTATGAACATGACTTTCTCACCAGGCATCCAGACATGTTGTCAGCTTTCCTGTGGCTGCAGCACTCTGTGGTCATGATTCTGTGCAGGGGACAGGGGTCAACATCCACCACCGAGAGCTTCCGTAGAGAGACGCTCCCTGCCTGGACTGAGATACAAAGGCATGAGCAAAGCCTGGCCTTTCTAGGCCTTTACAGGACTAAGTTGGCAACTGAACACAACACACATTGGGCTGCCCATCGTCCCTTCAAAGCCCACCCTCCTGCGCTAAAAGCTATATTTCCTGTCTTCTGTCCAGGGCAAAGAGGAAGTAGTTCTCCTTAGTACCCAACAGTGAGGGGCAAGGTAAAGAAAAGAGGAAAGATCTCACTAGCTTCCAGAATTTGGTTCTGGCAAAATGTCTACAAATTGAAATCAGATTAGTGACTCTATTGGTTCAAAAGAATTCTGTGTTCTAAAAAAGGTTTGAATAGCACCTTGTCTCTTAAGTGTCCAGCCAGGAGAAATATTGGAAGCCACATGCAATAACCACATACAAGGAAGACATAGATCTGATCCCTGGGAACTATGGGAAGCCTTCCACATGCAGATGGCCAATAGATGTGTATCCATGAGAGGGATGGATGTTCTCATGGGAGAAAAATTGAAAATAGGCATAACACCAAACATGCCACCCGGAGCTCCTTGTAGGAAGAGCAGGATGTAAATGCAACCCAAAAATAATGGAGCAATTGATCTTGCACAGCATTTGTGAAGACTGCCATTGTGAGCGCCATGGTACACAAGTAGCTCACCTGTGTGAGGATGCAGCCAGCCCACAACCAAGCAGTTCCTTAGAGCTGTCACAGGGAAGTTTTCAGGTGGGAAGCAGATGGGCTGCAAAGCCTTGCTGAAATAGAGCCGGGCACCTATCTTCAGGAGGGCAATATCATTGTGAAGAGTGAGTTCATCAAAGGCTTCATGCGGGATGATGGCACTGATGGGGATCAAGAAACTTCTGTCTTTCAGGCCTGTGATACCAACCATGGCCAACACCTGGGTCCTGGCCATGGAAAGCATAAGCAAAGAAAAGGCACTTGAGTGAACACAGACATGGGCCCTTGCTTCAGGCCTCTCCATTCCTGGGGGAAGCTTCTGGGCTTGAGGCACAGAAATTGAAGAGGAGGTGCAGCGATATAGGAAAACAATCAGTTAATGAATGCCTGACTTTCAAGTACCAGTTAAAAGCACAGGAATCCTGACATCATGCTAAACATGTCTTTACATACTACTACTAATAATAATAAATAGAAGGCAGGAGAGGGGTTGTGGAAGACAGAAGTGCCTGGCGTGCTCTGGTCCATGGGGTCACGAAGCGTCGGACACGACTAAACAACTAAACAACAACAACAGGAGAGGGGTTAGGTTTTCATCAGGATGCAGGAAATGGGGAAGGGAGGTTTAACTGTTTCCTTGTTGGCCACAATTCTGGCCCACCCTCCTGACTGTGGCTATTGGCTTTTTTAAAAAAAACAACCCTATTGGTTGCCAAATGCACTTTGTTGTTGTTGTTGTTTAGTCGTTTCCGACTCTTCGTGACCCCATGGACCAGAGCACGCCAGGCACCTCTGTCCTCCACTACTTCCCGCAGTTTGGTCAAACTCATGCTGGTAACCTCGAAAACACTATCCAACCATCTCGTCCTCTGTCGCCCCCTTCTCCTTGTGTCTTCTCCAGGGAGTCTTCTCTTCTCATGAGGTGGCCAAAGTACTGGAGCCTCAGCTTCACGATCTGTCCTTCCAGTGAGCACTCAAGGCTGATTTCCTTAAGAATGGATGCGTTTGATCTTCTTGCAGTCCATGGGACTCTCAAGAGTCTTCTCCAGCACCATAATTCAAAAGCATCAATTCTTCGGCGGCCAAATGCACACAACCAATCAATTCTCCATTGTTACCATGGGGAGGGCTTAACAGGGAGAAGCAGATAGGCTGCACAAGTCTCCTGCTGCTGCTTTTGCACATGGCAAAAGGGACCCTAATTCCTGCCTGCTAGGCGTGCCAACGTTTTGACTGGCCCCTGCTGGATCAGGCCAGTTGCCCATCTAGTCCAGTAGCCTTTTCTCAAAGTGGCCAACCAGATATAGCCCCAAACTTCATTGTGTTTCTTTGCTGGGGGCTATGTACTTCTGGCAGCCTATTGTGGTAGGATTCTGATTAACTGAGCAGCCAGTTTTCCAGTGTGGCTGGGAACAGAGGTCTTCATCTGAGGCTTTTCATGGACTCACCTGAGAGCACTTTTCCTGAAACACCACCTCTTTTGCAGCTGCTGCAAGGGACAGGGGCAGACCACTGAGCAGAGCCCTCTGCCCGGGCTCCACTGCAACCCTGCTACATCTCCAAGTTGACCTACTTGTCTAGCTAGAATGACCCAAGGATAGGATTGTGCTGCAAGAACTATTATTAATTGTTGCAAAGTTTTTTCTGGCCCTTGAAGGAAGTTCCTATACAGTGGTGCCTTGCAAGACGAAATTAATTCGTTCCGCGAGTTTTGTCGTTTTGCGATTTTTTTCGTCTTGTGAAGCATGGTGTCGGGAAAGTTTTGGAAAAGCTTCAAAAATCACCAAAGTCTTTAAAAACCGCATTCTATGAGTTGCTCCTCGAAGTCAAGTCGCAACTGTATTAACGGTGTTAAGAAAAAGGAAATAAACTTGCAAGACGTTTCCGTCTTGCGAAGCAAGCCCATAGGGAAAATTGTCTTGCGAAGCAGCTCAAAAAACAAAAAACCCTTTCGTCTAGCGAGTTTTTTGTCTTGTGAGGCATTCGTCTTGCGAGGTACCACTGTACAGTGTTTGATGATTTGCAGCTATAACTGTTCGTGCTCCATGTGTGTAAAAACCTCCACTTTAGCACCCACCTGTTCAGGAAAGTAGAGGCTGCACTTACTATCCAATGTTTATCCAGGATGCAGCCCAAAGCCAAGTGGTTGCCATAGACATCCTGCAAAGATACCATCCAAGGGAGTTCATCTACAGCTGCAAACTCTTGCATGGGTCTTCTGGGATCTAAGCTGATCTGCATGCCGCAATCTGTGCCAGTGAGAAAGAGGAGGGCAAGTCAGTCATAAAGGCCTGTCTGGTTTCAGCCTCAACCACTGTACTTTCTCCTTTGTCCTGCTAATATCCAGGAGGTTCATTACCCCATTGTGCTGCAGGAAGCAGAACATGTCCTCCAGTGGATGGGGAGCCTTTTCCAGCCCAAGGGCTGCATTCCCTTCTGGGGGGAAAGGCCATATGCCAGCGGAGGGTGAAGCCAGAGGGAAAGGTGGGCAGAGAAATGGAAGTACATTTGACCTCTCCATCCTCCATCCAGGCAAACAAGAGTCAGGCCCTCTATTATAGCTGGAGCTGGTAGAAGCCAGAGTCCAACATTTGGAAGGCCACAGGAATCCGATCCTTCCCTGTGATACGTTTGTTTCTCAGTTATGTCTCATCAGCCCTGTTTTCACAAGAAAATCCAAAAGTTGGAAAAGAATGCAAAGCATTTGAAATAGTGTACAACCTTGGCCAAATTCTGCCTGAAAGGGAGAACTTGTGTCATCATCTCTGAAAACTGCTTCAGCAGTTAAAGATGTGACCTAGAGCAAGTATACCAGTTTGCCTAGTTTGCATTGTTTGTGTTAGCCTTTGTCAACCTGGCAGCCTCCAAACGTTTTGAACTACAGCTCCCATAATGCCTTACCATTGGCTGAGGCTGATGGGAGTTGTAATCCAAGTCTGGCAGGCACCAGGTCGACAAAAGTCTGGTTTATTATGGTATTATGCACTGTTTGGATTTTGGGTCATCTAATGTGGCAGTGCTAGCAGATACTACCATTATTATTATTACTACTACTTACAACACACACAAACACACACAATGTCCACCTTCGTTGCACCCATTTATGATCATCTGTGCCCTCTGGCATCCTTGGGCCCAGAAAGGTCTCTTAGCTCTCCCGCCCATGGCCAATGTTCTGCTGCAAGGTCAGACCCAAATGCTTCACTCACCAGCCGCTGAAGAGGGCAAGATGCAGCAGCACAAAAACAGGCTTCCTATGCAATGTCCCTGTTAGAAAAAAAGAAAGCAGACCGTAAGCTCGGCACAGGCATTTTCCAGGACCTTTCCTCGTCTCTCATCTTCAGCAGAAGTCAGTCTTTCTGTTCCGAAGCCCAGATCAATCCCATAGCCACTGGAGAAGCAAATGCAGCATGTCTAGCAAGGTGCTGCTAGTGTTACAGTGATCAGTTTTACCTTGAAACCTTTTCTCTTAGGCAACACATACAGACACCACTTGTCATCTTCTTTAGTACAATGGTTTTTCAAAATGTCTTCAAGAAGGCCTTTCAGGGATTCCTCAAGGAAAGGCACAGGAATGGCAGGCAAGCTTCTCCAATTAACGGCTACTAGCCATAATTGCTGTGTTCTACCTCCACTGTCAGAGGCTTCATGTCCGCATACCAGTTGCTGGGAAGCACAGGTGGGTAGAGTGGTGTTATGCTCATGTGCTGCTTGAAAGTTTCCCACAGGCATCTGGTTGGCCACTGTGAGAAGAAGGTGCTGGACTAGATAAGCCATTGGTCTGATTCAGCTTTTCTTGTCCCTCTTCCCTTGCAATGTATAGTTGCAAGAGGGTTGGGTATGTTCTTGGTCACACAGTAGAAATGGGCCAACAATGGTGTTTCCACAGTTTTATTTACTGCTGAAAATGAACTGGGCGATCCAGAATTCTCCACAAAACGGCACTGGAATTCCATATCAGAAGTGTGGGGATTTATTGGAAGGCCCATCATTGTGGTGCAGGGTTGCCTGGAAGTAGGAAATTGGAAAGCCCCTGCTTTAAAGCAGGGGACCCCCAACCTTTTGGGACCCATGGACCATTTGCAAACTTATTCTATTGACTACAACAGAATGCTGCTTTCAAGATTAATTTCTGCACAGGGAGGAGATCCTGTGGAAACCACAAAGACCTCGGCAGGTGCATGTGTGCCTATTTGTCTGGATATTCACTTTTTGAAATATGGCAATGATAACTATGCTGGTTGGGGCTGATGGGAGTTGTAGTCCAAAACATTTGGAGGCCACTGCGTTTTAAAAGACTGAACTAGAGGGTTGTGGTGCTGCTTGAGAACAAGAGGTGTCCCTCCTCCCACAGTGAATTGAAAAGTAAGATACTGTACTCAAATCAACCAGTATAACAGATGGATGAAGATCCATGGCCAATTCTCTTGAAACCTTGTCCTGCGTTTATTCTTTATTTATTGCATTTATATCCCACCTTTTTCTTCAAGAAGCTCAAGGTGATGCACATGATCCTCACCTTCCTCATTTAATCCTCATAACAATCCTCATAACAACCCTGTGAGGTAGGTTAGGGTGAGAGGCAGTGACTAGCCCAAGGTGATCCAGTGAATTTCATGACCAAGTGGAGATTTGAACCCTTGTCTCCCAGGTCCTATTCCAGCACTCTGCCCAGAACTTTCCAAACTTTTCATGTTGATGACACACTTTAGACATGCATCATTTCATGACACAGTAATTGAGTTTTACCAGCAAACTGGAGGTTAAACTAACCCTTTTCCAACACTGGGAGGAGTGCGGGGAGCATTCCTGCAACACACCTACACACTGCAGCTGACACACTAACATGTCGTGACACACAGTTTGGAAAGCTCTGCTCTAACCATTACACCACACTGTCTCTTGTTCTCCTTTGTTTGACCTTCCTAGAAACTCCATTATGTGGTTCTTGTCTTGCTCTTTCTAAAACACATTTCTTTTATGTTAGCCTTTTCCCTATTCTTTCTCCCAAGTTATTCTGTCAAGAGCAACCATATATTTTTCGGCCTTATTTACCAAAGAGGTCTTGGCTTGGTATTGTGACCTCTGATTTCCTGCCATCAGGTAGACCCCAGGAGCAACCATGCCCTTTGCCAGAATTCAGAATTTGACACTGTAGACTCAACTATTGTTAGGTTGTGGTTGCCATGGTGCTGGGGTTCCTTCTTGCTGGCATCATGACCCTCATGACCAATAACCTTTCTAGGACTAGACCTGCTTGCAATTCCCCTTCTTGCTCTGAATCCATGACTGCATTCCCTAAATTTAAGGCTAATCTGACCCCAAGGTCATTACTGAATCCTAAGAAAAGAAGCTTTTCTAGGGATGACCTCCTCTAAAAAAACTCGAAAACTTTGGCTAGGCACTCCCCCTAAAAAAAAAAAAAAGGTCAACAAGTTCGTGCACCTCTTTTTCTAGAAGAAAAGACCTGGTGAGGGTAGCCAATGAGTCTCAAACTCTCATTGAATTAGGGACTTCCCTTGCATGCGAAGACAGGCTCAAGAAGGTGGTTTCTGCACATGGTGTAGGAGCAGATGGGGCTTGTCAGCCTAGGAAGGTAGCCCATCTAGGAGAAGGAAAACCCTGATCCTAAACCTCTGCTGCCTTGTGGAACATTTTTGAGATAAGAAAAGGCTAGCAGCAGTGTCCAAAATTTTTGTTGACAAAAAATCCAAAAAGTTGTTGAAGGGTTGAAGTTGTTGAGCTTTTTTTTAGGAGGACCTCCATACACTCCCCAGGCTTGTGCCCCAGGGAGGTAACTTTGGTTAATGCAGTGCAGTGGTTCGACTTCACCTTCAGAATTGGCAAAGGTTAGTCCTACCCTCCCTCCCATGATAGGCTTAGGGGGGGAAAGGTCCCATTCATGCAAATAGGACTCGCTCTTGGCTCAGTTGCTACACTCTGGTGGTGAATGGGTGTCTGCTGCTAGCTCTTTTTTACCTTACCATCCTGTGTGTGTGTCCCACACTTTCCCTCATGAGAATGCAGGAATGAAAAATGAATGAAGAAGAGTGAAATAAAAAAAATGTCCGTAAAAACTGAAACAATAAAATTGAATGAAACAATAAAAAAATGAAAGCAATGAAACAAGAATGAAACAAAATTGTCAGTAAAAACTGTTGACAACTATTTAAAACCTTTTAATGATTAAAACCAGCAATAAACTAAAAACCGGATTAAAACACATGTCCACATTTTACATACAATCCAAACAATACAATAGGCTTGCCTAAACAAAAATGTTTTAAGCAGGCATGGAAAAAGTGCAGTGAAGGCGCCTGCCTGATATAAGTAGGCAGAGTCCCAAAGTACAGGTGCTGCCACATGAAAAAATCGTACAAGATTTACTATTTAGTAAATTCTTTACTATTTAGTTGTAAATTAATTTAAGCTTCGTGGCCAGATTTGCACCAAGGTTTAGGAACTATTATACTGTAAGTAATATCTGTGTCAAGAACGATTGAAATTGAAAATTTATAAATCAGCCGTTCTTTGCGGAGCGGAGAGACCCCCCAAGAAGGCTTGCAGCCTTGAAGAGGGCGAGTGAACCCCGAACAAGCAAAGGCACAAGCCAAGCGCTTTGCAGCAGCGAGCTCACCGCGCAGGCGCACGACCTGCCCCGCCCCCCACAGGAGGAGCCATTGACAAGGGCGGCGTGCGCGTGCGCAAACCAAGCGCGGGCTTTTCTGTAGCGGCGCTATGGGCGAGGCCTACACGCCGGTGGAGGCTGCGCTGGGGACCGAGGAGAGCTTCCTCTCTCTGGCAGACATCCTCATGTCGCAAGAGAGGCTGCCGTGCCGCGCTGAGATCAAACTACCTCGCCTCGCCACCGTCTTGGGTAAAGCAGCCAGTGCCGCCGCCGCTTCCTCAGACAACGCGCTCCCTGAGGTGAGCTAACATCCCGCCACACTCCTGGACGGAATGACTACAACTCCCGACAGCTTCAGGTCGGAAGTGACGATACAGAACGGGAGGTTCAGACTTCCGTTCAAATCAGCTTTGCCCATAGATCTATAATTCGACTTCGATACCATGGCGAGTTTCCGGGTTGAGTTTGAAGTGTCTCGGAGGACAATGAGAAATCCCGGGATTTCAGTGGGGGAATCCAAGATAGTTGAGTGACTGAAATGGCACAATGGGTCGGTGCATCTGGCTGTTAACCAGAAGGTTGGTAGGTAGAGCTCAACCAGAGATTGCTGTGTGGACAGGATTCCTGCACTGCAGGGGGTTGGACTAGATGACCCCGGGGGTCCCTTTCAGCTTTACAGTTCTATGATTGTATGAATGCAGAAGGTAGCAGCAAGGGCAGCTGTTCATGTTCTTGTAACTCAAGCCTTCTCTTTTTAATTTTTTCCCTTAATGAGGTCCTAAATCATTTAAAAGTGCAATGCATCTGCATGCAGGTCAGCGGAGCATGAGGCTTCTGTGTGCCATTGGGCTCTGGACGGGCAACCCAAGTAGATCATGCTTCTTCGTGGCTGGTGCTCCAAGCCGGCTTGGAGCTCCTGGGGAGGGGAGGCTAAGGCTTGCTCTGGCTCAAGAAAGTAGAGCCCAAACCTTTTTAGACTTCAGTCAAACTTTGGCACCTGAGGAGGGGGTGGGGCCCATCTTGAGGGAGGGTCCACAGCTCAGTGGTGGAGCATCTGCTTCGCATGCAGAAGGCCCCTGGTTCAATCCCTGGCATCTCCAGGTAGGGCCGGGGAAGAAGCCTTCGTGAAACCCCAGTGGGCCGCTGCCGGTCAGTGTAGACTGTACTGAGCTAGGTGGACCAGTGGTGTGACATGGTAATGGGCAGCTTCCTATGTGCCTCCTCTCTGTAGCTTCAGGGCTGTCCCCAACCTGCTGGTCTCCAGTTCTTTTGAACTGCAACTTCCTTGGGAACTACAGCTGTAAAGCTATTGTAGCTAACAGTTTCAGCCACATGCACCTTCCCACTGAAATATGAGGTTATTTATCATTTGTTGCACAGCTCCCTGTTCATTTAATCCCCACAACATTCCTGTGAGCTAGGTTTAGCTGAGAGGACTGTGACTGGCCCAAGATCACTCAGTGGGCTTCATGGCTGAGCGGGAATTTGAGTCCTAGTCTGACACTCTAACCACCACACCACACTGGCTCTCTTTATATGGCATGAAAGTTAGAGCAAATGTCTTAATTTACATTTTCTGAACTTTTTAACCACACGCATGAATTTGTGGTGCACCTTACTTTAGAACCATTTTTAAAAAAAATTCTAGAGCAATAAAAATATTATTCCTTTATGTATGACCTTTATCTTTCAAATCCATTTTTAAAAGCCTGAAACCATTTCATTATAGATTGGTAACAGTTAATCCTTTTCTTTTGTCTTTCTGAAGTAACTTTAATCAAATTCTCAGATATTATTACAGTTAAAATGTAAAAACATTCTATTCACAGTACTGTATTCTTTTTTAAAGTTTGATATCTCCATTTGGAATTATTTTAATTTTGTAATTTTCCAGTCTCTTTATTTCATTCCTACCCTTTTTTATATACATCTATACACTTCCCTGTGCCATTTTGTGTGTAGAAATATATCCTGACACAATTAATAAAAAAAAACAACTTTTAGTAGGGTTATCCAAATCAAGCATCCCAATAGTGTCAAACTATTTAAGCTTATAGTGTAAAAACACATATTTTCGTTCTGTTCTGGTAGTCTAACATATGGAAAGTCTGCTACTGTCTGTTCCTTAATTTCACCTGTTCATCTGGGAGACCCTGCCAGTACAATTTTGTTGGAATGTCTGAAACTGTTATCCCCCCAACTCCCCCTCCCAAAATGTTAGAATCGCTTTATATTGCTTCCCTGTCCTACACCACATCCCAAATGTGAGGCAGAATGTGCTTCATCCCTGCAATTTCAGTGCAGTTTCTGTTTGTGCAAGTTTCTCTTTAGGCTGCAAACAAATTTGCTTCCAAGTTACTATGGCAGCCAATGCAAGTTTCTTGGAGTACATAACACGGCTGCAAGTCTGCTACAGTTTTATGTATACTGCTTATTGATGGTTTTCACCTTGTTTGTATTTTGATTTATACAGGGCTCAAAGCTGGAAATCCCCCTCTGGCTGGCCAAAGGCTTATATGACAACAAACGGAGGATCCTTTCTGTGGAATTGCCAAAGATTTACAAGGAGAGTTGGCGGACGGTGTTAAATGCAGATGCCAATGTGGTTGACCTGCATAAATTGGGGCCATACTACTATGGATTTGGCTCCCAGCTGCTGAATTTTGACAGTCCTGAAAATACTGAACTAGCTCAGACTATATTGCAGGTAAAACACCGAATTTGACAGAAGTCTTCTTCCCCTTAATGCTTCTGAGCTCTCTGTGCTATGATTTCTTTTGGTACTGAAGTGTTGCTCTTTGAGAGCTGTTAAACGTTCATAGCAACCTTCCCACCCAATTTTTCCCTGTGCTTTGTTGACATCATGGC